TATTACATACTTCGTTTTTTTTGTTCTTTCTTCTAAATCAGGGGTGTCAAACTGCTGGCCCATGGGCCAGATGCATCATAGTGAAACCGCGCCCACTCCATTGCTGGCAATGGCAAAAAAAGTCACAATACGTTGTAACACGTCACGTGACGTTGCGAGTTTAACACCCCAGTTCTAAATTATTCCTTTTCAAAAAAACTTTACAGACCAGAGGACATATTCCATAAATGTCTTACTATAAGAGCCACATCTATGTCCATTCTTATGAAAGGAAGCCAACTTGATATGGGCCATTTTACAGTGAGTTACTTCCCCCTTCCAATAAATCCTTCCAAACGTAAACATTTCACCAGTCCAACAAGCAATATTTCAGCTTCTGGCATGCTGTCTTGCTGGATTAATCCACCATAGCATTCAGGACTAATTCAAATGACGGCCATAGCAGCAAGAGGAACAGTGTCATTTATTTATTTATTTATTTATTTATTTATTTAAGAAGAATATATTAAATGACTCTCACAAAAGGTTGTTGGTGATTAAGTATTTGTTCAATAGGCTTTTGACAGCTGTGTGAGGCCCCCCGAACAGATGTTTCTGCTTTAATCCTTAAGGAAATGTTTGACATATTCCAATTTTAAATACAAAGCCTCATTACAGAGAGCAAGATTTGGCAAAGCTCTTTCTTTGGCTCCAAAGAACATTTAGAGCTTCAAAAATGGCCAAGGGTTAAGTGAGACCCTACCTTTTTTCTGTTTTGGCAGAATAAGATGTGTGCAGTTTTATTTCTCAAATACAATCAGTTGCTTCTTTCCATTCCAAGACCACTTTTCCCAATGATTCAGCATCTTCCAGTATGTCGGATATGTTTATTTAGTGATAGAGTGAGTATAAGAACCCCCCCCCCACCCTTAGAAAATACACTCTAATTCTCATCTCAATACACAGCTGCCAAAAGAGATGGGTAAATTGCCAGGCACACATGCATTTCCCTCTAACAGCTGCCTCAGCTTATATGGCTGATACTTGGATGTATATGGAAAGGAGGGAGAGAAATGATTTGGGCACAAATCCATCTTTCATGGTACAGGCAAAACTGAAATCTCTTGTTACAACCTTGCCCTGCTTGCATACATCCTGTTCTGTGCTAGAACATGCAAGAGGGAGAGGGAGGGAGGAGAGAGAGGGGGGGGGAGAGGAGACCGCCTGCCATAAAGCAGTGCAAATGACATTTTGAAAAAGCAAGAAATTTATTCTGTTGCAGTGTATGACTTCACCGGCGTATTTCCCAGGTTGCAGTTTCATACAAGCTACCCACACATGCTTAGGCGGGTGTTTTCTTCCCCTTATTCCCCCCTCCCTGATCTTTCCTGTATATCTCAATTTTTTTCTTGAATATTTTTCCCCACCAGCATCAAGCTGATTTTACACCCCCCCCAGCTACTCATATTGGTTGCCTCCATTTTAAATTGGTTCAAAGCAAATTCCTCAGGAACTGCTTTAACCCTTCCAACTCATTTGAACATCATCTTTCATCAAAGCAATGCCTTTCCTCCCTCCCCGTCTTCAGAGGAAGAAAATTGGTCCAACTCATGTGCAGTTTAACCCCACCTGGCCTGTTTTACCCTCATGATTTCACTGAAAAGGGTCATCATTAAGTGAATATCTCTCTTCACACTCCATTTAATTTCTCCCCCCCCCACACACACACATACAACACCAATCCCATCATATTGCAAAGATCCAGTTTATTCCTGTTGCTAGTTTCATATATATATAAGCATATTCATACATGTACAAGGGTACATGCACATTGCATAAACACACACATACACATTTCTATCTTCAAAAGGAGATTTTAAATCCTTTTAAAATCCTTTCCTTTCTCAAACTTTTTTTAATCCTGTTTGATTAGCTTATATAAGCCAATCCACTCTTTGGATTGATGCCATCCCCAAGGCATCTTATGCACTTTGATGGCTTCACATCAACTTAAGTAAAATACTCGTTCATTTTGGTATCCTGCTGTGAACCCTTTTTGCAAAATGTTTTGGATGGTCTATGCACATGTGTGCATGTTTAGAGGTGCACATACATGCAGATCGAGCAGATTCAGAGGCAGCTAAAGGCTCTCCCAGCTGCCTTTTTTCTGCAAAGGTTTCCTCTCTTAGCAAAGGTCTCTCCAGGACACCTTCTGCATCTTTTCCCATAGTTCCTCTCTTGAAAAAGAAACCAGAGTTATTCTAGAGCTCCCCCTCTGCCAGGCATGGGCATTGACCTTCTTTTCAATATTCTACCTTCAGGAAGCCTGGGTGGAAGAGAAGGGAGGAGGGAGTCTAATGTCATCTTCACAATATATCTAATCAATTTAAACAGGACAGTTGTCTCATAGGTACAACCTGACCATCACCTGATATATATGGGGGAAATGATGCATAAATCTTGTTTATTTGACCCAACCCTAAGCCATTATTTTTGCCAGTCCTGTATGTAGAGCAGATGAAAAAACATTCTTCTGTCATTAAACAAAACTATTTTGGGGAAACAAGTTCATCAGTGGCTCTACTTTGTTATCCATTGTTATGTTGTGGAAGTCATTGCTTTTCACTTGGTCCTATATTAGGTTAGAAAATTAATTTAGCCACCTCAGGTTTTATGGATTCTTTTGAGGAAGACTGCCCCTACCACCACCCCACTTATTACTCTTCATTTTTATTTTTAGAAGTGCAAATACATGTCTACATCTTCTCTTTCTATCCCTGTCTTTCAGTATCAGGGTCTAGAATTGTCTTCTACAATGAAAAATCCTGTGTATCCTTATCTACTGTGCTCATTTATTCAGTGACTACAAATCAGATTGTGTTCAATGGGGGCTTCTTCTCAGGAAGGAAGGAAGGAAGGAAGGAAGGAAGGAAGGAAGGAAGGAAGGAAGTTTGCATTCTCATCTCATCTCATGCTCTTTTTGATAGAGCAAGAAAAAGAGAACTTGCTTTTCTCCAACATACTCTAGGATTATTGATTGTCAACAGCTCAATTTAATGTGGTAACTTCTCCTATATAATGCCTTCCATGCATGTTGGGATTACAACTCCTAGGCATCTTGGCAGTTCCAGTCCTAGCATGTCTGAAGGACACCAGTCTGGAGAACATCACTAGGTCTCGGTCTTATCTCAGTTTACATCAGTATTGGGACATGTGTGCCTACAATTTAAAAAGGTAAGATCTGGTCCCAAATGCACATTTCAGTTAAAGGTGATCCAGAATTAAACATTATTGTCCTAGGAGATGTAGTCCTAGGAGAACTCCCTTGATCATATAAGGAAAAAAATGTAGGATGTTAAATTTTTCAATTATAAAGGATTTAAGATTATATTCTCCTAATGCATTATATTCTATGTTATCTTGTCATCCCAGAGTCTGGAGAACATTCAGATTTTCTACCTCATATTCATTTTTAGCAGAACAATTTTAGAACGTAGTAAAGAGTAAGCAAAACATCTAGAGATACCAGGCTGGAAAAAGCTACTCTAATTAGAAGGGGAGTCCAGGACATCTGGAAGGTACAAGATGAACCAAATCTATTTTAGAGGATAACCAGACCATCTTTTCTGATTAAAATGTAAGCCTCGGCCAATATCTCAGTGTTGTGATTTCTTTTTGACTATGCTTTGAGCATCTCAATTATTCCAGATTGAAATTTCTTTTCTCCATAATAATTTAAGGGCATTCTGACCACAGGATTGCTTTGAGGGAGTGACTTCAGGTTTTCCACAGGGATGAAAAATATTTTAGGACCTAAAAACACTGTACAAGAGCATACTACTGTTTCTTCGTGAAATGTCCCAACTGCATGGTTCATTCTGAGAGATGATCTTATTAGTTTCCTAGGAGAGTAGACAAGATCAGAATGGGCAAACCTCTCCAAGAAAGCTCCCTTTTTTTCTGCAGCATCCTGTTGGCTGGCTTGTGCATATGTATGTGTTTATGTTTTCTTTACCAAAACAGGGATAATACAACTGCATTCTTGGAAGTGACTACAAGTTGTTCCTCTCTATTTGAGACTTCCCTAACCCAGACTATTGGATTACATCTCCACCTCCTCTCTCTTTCACAGACACACACACACACACACACACACACACACACACACACACACACACGGAGGGAGGGAGGGAGGGAGGGAGGGAGGGAGGGAGAGAGAGAGAGAGAGAGAGAGAGAGAGAGAGAGAGAGAGAGAGAGAGAGAGAGAGAGAGACACACACAGAGATATCATCCAGTAAGTCCAAGTTCTCTGAGAATTATGAGGATGAAGTCCAATAAATCCAAAGAGCTCCAGATTGCACTAAATTGTTCTATTTCTTCAGTGTGTGAACAGAAAGCATACACATGCAATGCTGCTCCCCCAACATACCAGATTTTAAGAGCAATCCTGTCTTGGCCTCAGTGGCTGGCTCTTTGCTTCACGCAACTGAGCATTCCCTTACGTCACTTGGCATAAGCTTTTGAATAAGAATATGAGATTGCCTAGCTCTGCCTGAGATTTGGGAGACTGGAAGCCTTCTTCTCCCCCTCCCTGACCATTCCTGCATATGCATTTAGTCTTTCTGGAGAGAGACCACTCTCCAAGGAATCATCCTCCCTCACAGGACATCTGGAACGATTCGATTCGCCTTGCCACCGATCTCCCTCTCCCTCCGCAAAATCTCTGTAGGGGAAATGAGCGCAGACTTTCTCCCCCCCCCCAATCTAGAAAAAGGAGGCATCTCCCCGCCCGGTAGCCACACTTACAATTCGTCATTGCAAATTGGGGACGGGGCCTTGCACCTTTCTAGCAGCCATGCATTTCTTGAGTGTACTCAGCCAGTCTTGGAGGTCACCCTTCCACCGCCTGGGGCGCGACAGGGCCCTAGACCTCCGTACCCCTTTCATCGCTTGCAGGCAGCCCTCCCCCCCCCGCCGCCTGATTTCTCGCTCTCCCTGCCTTCCTGCCCCTCCCGCCTTACCTCCAGACCTGTCCCATCTGCAGCAGGTGGATAACAGTCTGCCAGATCCAGACGGAAAGCCTGCAGAGGCGCTGTGCGCCGGGAGGGGCGGCGTGATGTCCCGGGCCAGCCCGTCGGCCCCCTCCGACCGAGCCCATCATGGGAGGGCCGCGGCTGGTGAGGCCCTGCACGGCCCCCAGGCCTCCGCCGGTGTAGTCTTGCACGAACCATCGGAAGCTGAGGATTTGCACCAAGACCGAAGGCAGGAGGACGAAGGCCAGCGTCAGGCCACACCACAGGTAGTCCCGCCGGCCGTAGTGGTCCAGGGCCAGCCAGAGGTCGGTGCCCACATCGCCCAACAGCACCAGGAGCGCCAGCACGATCCACAGACAGTCCAGCCACGGCCGCTCCACCGCCAGCGCCACCACCGCCGCCGAGGGCGAGGGCGGCTGCCCGTCGGCCGGCTCCAGCGGGTCCGTGCCGCCTCCCGGGCCCCCCGAGGCCGACCCCCCGGCCCGGCCCAGCAAGCTTCGTAGGCAGGCGCTCCGGCAGCCCCAATAGCACGATGACGTGTTGCAGCAATGGCAAATGTGCATGGAGCTGCTGCCCCCGGCCTCGTCCCCCGCGCCGCCGCAGCCGCCCGGGCCGGCCGCGGCTGCGGCGGCGTGGTGCGGATGATGGTGCGGGAGGTCGTCCAGGTTGTGCAGCTGCGAGAAGCCGCTGCCGTCCGACTTGGCCGCCATCACCTCCGCCGCCTGCCGCCGCCGCCGCCGCCGCCACCACCACCACCGCCACCGCCACCACCAGGCTCCCCCCTTGCTGCCCGGCCCGGCAGCCCGCTTCCCGCCGCCCTCCCGTCCGTCCTCCCTTCCTTCTTGCCTGCCCTCCTCCCGCCCGCCCTCCTCCCGCCCTCCACCCGGGCCCCTCCGGCCGCAGGGCTCGGGATGCCCTCCCCACCACCCACCGCCGCCTCCTCCTCCTCCTCCTTTCCCCTCCGCTTCCGGGAGAGGAGGGAGGCGCTAAAGACCAACCGGGGCCCCCATTCCCTCCTCCTCCTCCTTCCAGACCCGCAAGCAGCAGCAGCCGCCGCCGCCGCCGCCGCACAGGAAGGATGGGGCTGGGGGACCCCTAGTGCCAGCGCCGGGGAAGAACCAGCGCTCCACTGAGGGGGAAGGAGAAGGAGACCACCCCGCACGTCCGCCCACGCCACCGCGGCTGGCATTGGGGGAGGAGGGGGGACACCCTCGCCTGCCTGCCTGGCTGGCTTGGACCAGATCGACCCGGTCTCCCCCTGCCAAGGTCCAGCATCCCCGGCTCATCCCCCCCACCCCCACCTCTTCCCGAACGCCCTCTCCAGCTTACACAGGCGCTGGTTCAGCTCGGAATCTACCGAACTGGAGGCTTCCTGCAAGCATAGCCTCTACTAACTGGCTTCCACTTCCCTTCCACCTGCACATAGCCCCGCGTCCGCTTTTTAGCCTCCATCCGCCATCCTTGGTCTCAGCATAGAGCCCCCTCCCTGAGAGGTCCCCATTGCTTCCCTTGGAGGTGATGCGCCTGGGCGACTTTCACGCCTGTGAGCTATGTCACACCTCCGCCTGCCCGCCCTTGTCTTGCCCAGCTTGCATACTACGACGTTAGTGGGCAAAAACTGCACTGACTCCTCATCATAGTAGCCTCTCAGGGCTGAGCTCTTCTGCAGCAAAAGTAGCAAACCACTGGATTATTATTATTCCTCTCCTCCCCCCCCTCCTCCTCCTCCCTCCTCGCTCTTCACAGAAACACACACACACACACACACACACACACACCTATGGCAGCTGCAAACTGTTGTCCCAGTTTAAAGCTGGTTGGGTGGGATACAAATTGCAAGTCTTTAGGATAAGGTTGCATTGACTCTTTTGAAACATTCCTACAATTCTGCATTTGCATTCTTAGATCACCTCATAGAATGCTACCAGATTTCTATTCCTTCTACTCCAAAAGCCCATCCACTTTTCCTCTACGACAGACAAATGTGTTTATTACTTCCCTGGAACTGGCCAGTCTAGGGCTCTTTTAAGTTCTTACCACCCATATGAGGTCTCATTATTTCTGCTCATTAATCAAGCCTAATAACCTCCTCCTATAATGAATGTAACATCTTGGATCATTTGAAGTTGGACAGAGTGGTGAATGGGGACCGTTGTGACACTTGAGCTGGAATGATAGTATTTCTAAAGTGTTTATTAAAATGAGGTGCTTTGTGTGGTGCAAACACAGAATGCCAGCCCTGCCTGAGGCACACCATTTGAGCAAGGCAAAGTGCTCAAGGAGGTTGGGAGAGTGAAGAAAAAAAGAAAAAGAAAAAGGAAGATGTGTCAGATCAATTAGAAGATGCTAGTCTGAAGAGGGCAAGTTTTTATCAGGAGTTTCAACAAAGCAGTAAAAGGAGTTTTAAAAAAAGGAGTAAAAGGAGCCAGAAAAGTACCAGGAGAGAAACTGACCAGGTTGAAAGTTAGGACACACTGAGTTGAAAAATGGAGGATGCAACCCAGGGTTTAAAAGGGATCAAAGTTCTAATGGAATTCAAGAGGTCCATCTATAAAAAGAAAAATGGAAAGATAAGTGAAAAGAAGAGAAAGATTCTCATTTGCATAAACTACCCTGTGTTTCTCAAAGACACCTTCTTTCTCACCCTCATTCACCAATGAATTTCTGCTTTCTCTCTCAAAGAAATATTCCCCACCTCATCCACGTGCATAGTTTGCTTCTCTGGCTGCTTTGCTTTCTTGCATTCTTTATCTTGCCCTAATACCGCCCATCAACAATTGGGGTAAAGATACTCACAGTCAGTGTTGTGTAAACTATGCCTCTTTCTTTGTCCTAGCCACACCTTGGCCTTCTGGAAGGATCTCCCACAAAGAAGCACCATGGAGTCCATAAATCAACAATGATTCTGATGAAAAGCATCTTGCAACTCCCGTCTGCAACAGAATCACTTGTTGCTGCATTTTCAGCCTTAGTTTCAGCCTTGTACCACTTGCCTCCCTCAGTCCGCAATTCTTTTGATCTCTGTCCATGGTGCTGAGATCTAGCCTGCCATTTCCGGGATCTTGACCTGAATTGCTGCTGCTTTTTGCATGCTAGAACACCCATTTCTGGCATGTCGTGCGCTCTTCTTTGAGTCATCTAAACTAGATGTAACTGGCTGATTAACTAGAAACCAAGTCCAAGAATCTGCAACATTTGTAAGAACATATGCGTATATATTATGTGTGAAGTTAATTTGTATTCTCCTCCTATTTTAGAAAAAGCTGCTCAAAAGCAAGTAGTGAGGAGATGTGCAATAGGGATAGGCATCTTAACTATTCCCCACTAAATTAGTTCTCATTCAAAAATTGCCTGTACAAGCAGTTTCCCCTAGCAAGTAGCATTTCAAATCTGTACACAGATTTGAAAAACCAGTTATAGCAGAAAATATTTGGGTGGCTCTATAGAGAAGGTGGAGAGTTGCCTGTTACCAACAGTACCAGAAGCTGGCCAGACTGCTGCCTGAGATTGCCAATCTGGCTACCTGAGTTTGTTCAATATGGCAATTCTTCCCAGAGAAAAAGTTTCTATGGGGCAAGTAGTTTTAAATGGAATGTTGCTCACTGACCTGGAATTTAGATAGGGTAGAAGACAATACCCCCCTTTTAGAATAAACTTTTACATTATTGGTCCTAGTTCTGCATTTTTTTTTCTCAGATAACCACACAATAATAATAACCACTTGAACCATCTGCATCGACAGAATTCCCATCAGTCAATTGCAAAAGGCAGATTTACTTGAAATAACTTACATCCTGTGACAATAGTTTTTAACACCATCAAATAACAATATCTGCTTGTCCTGAGTCCTTAGTAGGTTATAAAAATACCAAATCCAGTCAAAACATCTGGCTGAAGGGAGGAGGAGGAGGAAGAAGAAGAAGGAGAAGGAGGAGGAAGAAAAAGGAAGAGGAGGAGGAAGAAGAAGGTGAAGGCAAAGAAGAAGAAGAAGAAGAAGAAGAAGAAGAAGAAGAGGAAGAAGAAGAAGAAGAAGAAGAAGAAGAAGAAGAAGAAGAAGAAGAAGAAGAAGAAGAAGAAGAAGAAGAAGAGGAGGAGGAGGAGGAGGAGGAGGAGGAGGAGGAGGGGGGGGGAGGAGGAGGAGGAGAAGGATTTAGTACCATATCAGATCTGTTCTCACTGCTTTTGGCTAGTTGTCAGAGGTAAATTGAAAAGTTCAGAGTAAATTGAGAAGTTCACTTGTCCTGCACTGTTGAATTAATGTAGCAAGTCCTGGCTGATACCTACCTGAACAGTAGGGGGTCCTTGGACAAAGAACCTAATACTTTGCTTGCCCAATTTGGGTATGAGAATGACACAAACTAAGAGGGTCATGCCAGCTTGGATGTTACCCAAGGTCCACACCAGATGGACTGCACAGAATTGCACCCACAGGAGGAAAAAATGAATGGAAGAAAAATCTGCCCTTGGAGAGAACATAAAACTTGGAATTAAAACATTTATTTGGATGCAAAGTTTATTCTGCTGGGATTATGTTTTCCTTTTCAAACTTTATTCATCTGTCATTTTTTAAATACATCTGTAGATTATAAACTATATCAAGAGGGCAACATCAACATTAACCACAGAAGGGACCAAAAGGGACTCAGAACTCCTGACAGTGTAAACAATTAATTAGTGGAATGGCTTGACTTCAGAAGTGTGGGTGCCCTATCACCAGAGGTTTTTGAGAGGAAATTGGACAGCCATTTGTCCAAAACATTATAAGTCCCTTCAGCTCTGTTTCTCTATTATTCTAGAAGACTGACATCGAAGAATAGAAATTTCAGTTTAAATTTTCTTTTTTAAAAAAAATCTTCTAAATTTTGGGAATTATGAAAATAAACTTCTATAATTTTTAAAATTTTGGGAACAAAATATCCTTTAACGAGGTGGCCTGGTGTACCAACTGAGAGAGGGCACAGCTGAGAGGTGACTCAGTTGTGAGGTGTCCCAGTGTCCCAGTTGAGAGCCCAGCAGCCCAGCTGAGAGATGTAGAGGTGGCCCAGTGACCCAGCCTAGCATATGAGCAGTGGCAGTGAGGTACAAACAGAGGCTACTGAGCAGGAGTGAAACAGAGGTAGGTGGCAGCAGACCAGTGGCTGAGAGGAGCATGGTGGACCCTGAACAACAGCCATGCAAGTTTTTCAATTTCCTTTTTCAATTTTCAACTTCTTTTTTCAAATTTCAATTTCTTTTTTCAATTTTCAATTTTTTAAATTTTAAATTCCATTTTTAATTTTTAAATCTTTTTTTCAATTCTAAAATTCTTTTTTCAATTTTTTTCAATTTTTCAATTTCTTTTTTCAACTAAACATTTAAAAAACAGTTTACTTATTTTAATTCTTTAGACTTTTTAAAATTCTTAATGATCTAAGAGGAAAAAATAAAAAATCACAGAAAAAGAGATAGACACTTAAAACATGGAAGATAGTGATGAATTTTTGAAGGCAACTTATTCCATTGGTTGATTGTTCTCACTGTCAGAAAATTTCTCATTTCCAAGTTGAATCTCTCCTTGATCAGTTTCCATTCGTTCTTCCTTGTCTGGCCTTCAGGTGCTTTGGAAAATAGGTTGATCCCCTCCTCTCTGTGACAGCCCCTCAAATATTGGAACACTGCTATCATGTCTCCCCGGGTCTTTCTCTTCACTAGACTAGCCATGCCCGGTTCC